GCCCGGCCTCATTCTATCACCTCGACCATGCCACGTGAGGTCACATTTCCAACAGATAAAACACATCCACACCATAGTATCCAAGAGGGGCTACCAAGGGACTCATGGGAAAAAGTCTATGAAATTTCAGTAAGTCCTTTTATGGAATTTTCAAATACTGTACTTCAGGCCATTCTAGCCTCCCTAAAATACAACTTTGGTTTCAATACGGAAATGCCTGGTTTACAAGGGAATGTCTGGCTTGTTCAGAACTTACAAACTACTAAACTGGTGTTTTTAGGACCAAGAAGGCAATTGGTGATTACATGAACTGGTAGGAACACGTCCACGCACATCCACAACTTACAGCGAAGGGGACAATTAAAATCCCCTTTAGTGGAAACAAGAGCTATGGAATAAAGCTACAAATAGCCAGAACAATTATTAAAAAGCAGTAATTCTGGAGGAACCCATCTAGAGTCAATACCCAGTATATGACTGCTTAGTAACTGACTGCCATACAAAACACACATACTGTAACTTTCAGGTATCTGCTTCTCTCTCAGACTAAATTTTTCAGATCAGGGTCATGCCCAGACCAAAATAAAGAATGCAAAAGTAACAGAAGTTTCATTTTCTGAAAGATTCTGTATTAACAGAATGTGTAAGATAAATTCCTTCAACAACGGGAAAAAAAAAAAAAAATCAAACTTTCTGCTGTTACTTGAATACTAACCATTCAGTGCATGCAGGCAGGAATGTTGAAATGGAGCCTTCTGCAACAGACCATGATCTGTAACAGGTCACAGTGGATATAACTTTTAAGGACAACCTATCGAAGACTCCGGATTTAACATTCCTTCACTCAGCACCACATACGGTACATTAATGGAGTTAGAGGTGCGACTCAGTAGTGGAATGTGTTCTTAACAGGTGAAGCTCTGCTTCAATGTCCTATACTCACCCTCCACCCCCAATTACTTCTGAATCGTCCTCTGGCCCTTACTTCTGCTTTTACTGCAACAATTATATCTTCTAGACATAAGGGAGTTTCAGTGATTTTCAAATTCAAATTAGTTCTCCTAATGGGGAAAGGCTTTTGTTCACTGAAAATTTTAAATTGGGTAGGATTAGGGACAAGAACCAGCCCCCATCTTGATTTGCCTTAATGACTCCACACCTACACTAGGAAAATCTTGAATCATTTTCCAAGGCATTTGTTCCCCAGAAATCACTGCGTTATTTTGCCAGTGTTGCTGAAAACAAATTGAAGTTCCAGAGGTCAGTTTTAAACACCCAGGCTCCTAACAAAGACTTGTTTAGTCAAATGATCACCTCCACATAAATCCTGCTTCACCATCACGTAATCCTATACTCAATACTGCTTTACTACCACACGATCCTATCTTTATTACCGCATCTACACTATCTAACCTCATAATCCTTTCAAGTAAATCAACTGTTCAAAGCAGGTACATGCAATTAAGAATCAAGTTGTATTCAACTTAAAAACGGAAGCACCATAGTCAAGCATAGCAAGTATTTCCCTACAGTAAGGGTTAGAATTCCAACTGTGTGGCAGTATCTATCTAAGAAACAACCCCCTTTTCTTCAGACACATGTTTAAAGGGGAAGAGAAATGAGTATGAAAAGAACTTAAGTAATTTTTACTAAAATGTAAACACAGTTAAGAAAAAAGTGCATTTATTTCCTAGGATTAGGTAACTCTAAAGATCCCTAGATTAATCCCTTCCCAATTTAAGAATGATCTAACCCAGTGGTAGTGCACCCGCAGTCACGTGTGCTGCAATGAGCTTGTCTGTTTTGTTATCACTGAAAGCTGTAAAAAGTTTACCATCACTGATCTAAACTACCATGCTGCTCAGATAAATACCCTGAGCACATTTTAACTTCTCCTTAATCTATAGAATATGTCAATAATTTTCAAAATGAGAAATCTATTAGTCAGCACACAATAATCCAAAAGTATCCAAGTGTAAAGTACTTCTTGTCTGGGCGTGGTGGCACATGCCTGTAATCCCAGCACTCAGGAGAGGAGGCTGAGACAGAAGGATCGCTTTTTTCGGTCTTTTTGAGACAGGGTCTCCCTGTGCAGTTCAAGCTGGCCTTGAGCTCACTTTGAACTTGCAAGGATCCTCCTGCCTCAGCCTCCAGAGTGTTGGGATTACAGAAGTGCACCACAAGAGGAAGGATCACTTTTGAGTTCAAGGCCAGCCTGAACTCCATAGTGAGATCCTGTTTACATTTGAGTAAAAATTACTTCAGTTCGTCTCATACTCATTTCTCTTACCCTTTAAACATGTGTCTGATAAAAAAAAAAAAAAAAAAAAGACAGGCCGGGCGTCCTGGCGCACTCCTGTAATCCCAGCACTCAGGAGGCTGAGTCAGAAGGATCGTCGCAAGTTCGAGACCAGCCTGGGCTATAAAGTGAGCTCAAGGTCAGCCTGAACTGCATAGTGAGACCTTGTCTCAAAAAGACCAAGACAACAAAACAAAACACCTTTTTTGATTCATCCCAGATTCTGTGTTACTTAAAACTCATATTGAAGTATTTGAGGTTCTGAAAGAAAAAACTTACTTCGGTGAGGGAGAGCTAATCAGTTGAATACATTTATACAAGTTACACCCATCTTGCTGTGTTACTGCCCAGCTGCTTAACTATTTTAGAAGTTCTTGCTACTGTGTAACTTATGGAAAACGCAATAAACACTTTAGTAATACCAAACCTAGATTTGTGCTTCTTACCCCAACCGAGGAATTTATATCAACTTCCAGTTAGATCAGGCAGTAAGAAACAGATCATGGAAGCAAACGTGCTTTTTTGTTTGTTTTTATTTCTGATCTCGAAGGGATCTCCAATTTTTCCAAATCAATGTGTACCTTAACATTCACACAGTATACTCTTTCCCTTTTAAAGAAGAGAGTTAGGTTTTGGCATCTTACTACCTAAGTTTTCTTTCATTCATCATTTAAAAATGTTTAACTATCAATCTCTTGCCTGTGATGGGTTTATTTTGCGCTAATTTACGAGATCTACGGTAGTTCCTTTGAACACCAATTAATCCTGCTTCCCAGGGTTTCATGATGGTGAACTAGGATCCTCAAGTTCCCATAGGTGTAACTACTTTCAAAGTCACAATCTGCTCAATAGCTCCGCAAACAAAAGCTCGTGCTAGACGGAGACTCCGCGAGGGCAGCAGGACTGGCACCAGCCGCCACCCCTACACAAGCCTATCACAAAAAACGCACAAGGCTCGGGAGATTAGAGTCGGCTCCTCCCTGACCCGGCTAGTCCAAGCAAACCCGAGTCCAACAAACTGGCCAGACTCCGGAGCGGCGCACGGACTCGGAGGCGGCTAAGGGTGGTGGAGCCCCTAAAGGGCAACAGGGACAGGAAGCGTGGGCAACACGCACTGAATCCACCGAGGCAAGACCCCCCACACACACACAACCTGTTTCGTGCCCTAAGCAGGTACCGGTCGGGGTAGGAGTGCTCCCTCCTCCGGGTCCCCGGGAGCTCACGAGACTGCCAGCGCCGCACGCGGGAGGCGGCTGGCGGAGATGCACAGGCGCCTGCCCCGCACCCACTTCCAGCCCTCACCCTGTTGCTCACCGGTGCTGCAGCCCCACGAGTCCTAGATTGATCACATACGGCACATCCAGCTGCGTGGGCCACTCTCCAGAGGCGATGCACCCGAACACGCCGCAAGCCTCTCGAAAGCCCGACTCCTCCAGCTCCATGTCGCCGCTGAAAGCACGTGGAGGGACCGCTCGCCACGGCCGAGGTCCAAGCACCAACCAGCTGCCGGCTCGGTCCCTACGCGGGGAAGCTGGGGCCGGAGACAGCCTCTTCCCCTCCGCTCCACGACCGCTACTGCGGCGGCGCGGGTGGCCCCCCGAGTGGGCGTGGCCTGCCGCCCCGCCCCGCCTCCCGAGGCCCACCAAAGAGGGAGAGCGAGAGGGGAGGAGTCGCACTTATGGGGGTGGAGCCACCCCTTCCCTTCCCCGATACCCGGAAGGCTAATTTTTCTGCACGTGGAAACCTCCGTTATTTTCCAACATCCAAGACTGGGCGATGAGAGTAACGTCATTTCTCTTAGAGGGCGTCAATTTTACGTGCCCCATCCCGATCTGCTTCCCCCCGGCCGTCAGGACTTGGTGCGCTCCAACCTACGCGCCTCTCTCGCCGACGGAAAGGGGCCCGGCAGCGCGCTCCGCAGGGTGGGGAGGGGCCCCCAGTGCGCGCCACTTTCCGCCTTTCCTGGAACGGCGCCCGCGCAGACGGCCCGGGGCGGGGTCGCGCCTGCGCGGGG